CTGTCCCCTCCCTCCCCAGCAGACTCCGATACGCAAACCACCTCTCCGTCCAACTCTTTTGTCACCACTCCCTCCTTCCCCACGCATCGCAAACCGACACCGCACCAGCCGAGCCGCCCCAAGTTTTAACACTTCCCAGCAAAAATGCCATTGGCTGCTGAGTGATTCATTATGAGTGCCGAGCCTATGAAGTATGCAACCGCCACACGCAAATCGAAGGATGATTACTAGCAAACTCGCGCCGCCGGCCCGACTCGGCCACCATTGAGAGGTGCACTCGTCCCACTGCTAATGCTATTTTGGGGCGCCACTTTGTGGATACTGTCCGCCGGCTGAAGCACCGCGTCTCTGCGAGTGATGAAGCATCGAGTAACAGCGGATCACAGAAACAACACCTTTATCTGTCTACTGAAAAACATTTACAAAATATGTTGATGATGATGATGATGATGATGATGACATGTAGCTGTGGCCCCGGGTGTGGCAACATTCGAGTAACACTACTAACATGCAATATCCACAACCGGGGCTTGGTGCGCATACGAAATAGAACTGAATGAGGAGAGAGTTGCAATCGAGAAAGAAGCAAAGAGGAAGAGAAAAATCATCGAAAATGCAAACATAAACATGAAAACGTAGTACAAGTCAGCCTGTTTTGAGTACATCTCTTTTTTTTTTTTTTGTTTTTGAGAAAGATAAGCAATGAAACATTAGAAAATGAGTGGTTACTGCTATCATCATTATCACTGTCGTCGCTTTCACCATTGTCATCATTACCGAGCACCACCGAAGTCGGACTATTTCTGGATAGCCCTGTACCAAAGTTATTTTAAACGAGCTTGGGAGCGGGAGGATAAAACTGGTGTTAGCACCTTCCACAACATGCTTGATAAACCCAGTATAAGCAAGAAGCATGAAGGATGTGCGTGCATGGGGAGGAAGCAGGGACGGGGCATCGATAGTACAAAATTTTGAAAATTTGGAAAAGCCGGAGCTCATAAATCATGCAAACCAATCCAGTCTGAAAAGCATTGGCAAAACCATCGGCTACCATGCGCAACATCACTGAGGTTGCCAGGAGCTTAGGGCACAAGAACAAAGCA